ATGCCCGATATATGTCGAGTCATAATTGAGAAGCAAGCAAAATGGCTGTGTACTCGCACTGAATCCTTTGTCTTTGAGGTATGAGTTCCGTAAAACATGCCAGATAAAGATTGTGAGGTTCTAAAGGAATCATGGGGCTGGTAAAAACCTCAAAAACTGTTTACATCATGCTCTCGAAGAAAAGTCCGAGCAAAACGTGATGTAATAAAAAAAAAGCCACAGTCACTTTTAACGTCGGGGTATTAGTTAAAGTAGTGGTATTAGTGCGTGATGATCTATTCAAAAAGCAGGTCCCGCTCTTGATTTCTTCCACTGGTCAGGGAAAAAACAAATTCTGGCCAAGAAAACAGGGCAAGGACTTTTTTACTTACAGTTTACTGGCCAGTGGCCAGATCAGGCAAACTGGACATTCGCTAGGCCAATCAGAACAGCAGGTCACATGGCAGTGCGAGCTTGCAAGAATTTTTGCAAGCCACGTGACGTGTCTTTGCCACACGCATGGCCACGTAATCTGTCCTGCCCGTGGAAAATCTGACGTGGCCATGGCAAGTCTAGAACATGTTAGTTCACTTGTGCCATTTTGCTGTATTTATCATAACTATTTCAAAGTGGCAAATTATGTTTACAGAAACTTAATCATATGCGTAGAAAAGTTACCAGTCGTCAAAGTAAGCAGTAACTATGAAGATACACCTCACTTTCAGCTGCTTTTAAGTTATTTGTGAGTTAGCCTCAAAAGTAATCAATAGTAATTCGAAACTGATTCAGAAGAAATTCAAGAGTAACTTCAACAGCGCGTAAAAGTAACAATATTTATCAGTGTCTTTTGAAACTGGTAATTCACCAGTTACCCTTGCCAGAAGAATAATTAGCTCGACAATCATTAGTTACTTAGGAACCCAATAGTAACTTGAAACTCCTAGATCACTCTAAAAATTCTCTAAAGAAATCAATTGGCCCCTCCGTCCACGTGGCTCTGTAGTAGAATGACATTCAGAACAAAACAGCATAAGTAGTTCTGTAAAAATTATCCGTTTTATTTTTGAAATTCATTCTTGAATTGGTTTTAACAATTTTTCCATGATTACATTATCAACTTCCATCCACAGAGCGAAATAGCATGCATAAAACTGAATACATTCTTTTTCATTTTTTGTCCATTTTTTTGTTTCTTGTTGTTTATAACCGTGTGCAACATCATCAATATACTTCCATTCAACTTTAACAAACACTAATAATCTTCCTAAATCATATAAACCATCACCACATAAACAATCACCATAATCAATAATACCGTTTAAATGGCCGTTTGTGGATGATGATATGCGTATATTATCTCCAGCTATATCGCCATGAACAAGTACGGATCGATTAAATTCTATTAAATATATTTTTATTGATAAATAAATTTGTTTTGTTTGTTCATATTGTTCTTTATCAAGAAACGTTGATTGGTTTAAAACAAGATTATTAAAGTCCAACTCAAACATTTGATACCATGATGAATAAACACCAATATCTTTATGTTCACTCATATAGCCAAATTGTTTCAGTTCAATTGAATGTAATCCACATAAATATTCACCTAATTCTTTACAGATTTCAAATGATATTAATTCGTGATTAACATCTAGATCAGTGCCTAAAAACATCGACCAATTTACATCCAATAGTTAATGTGCTCATTTACTGACGCTGTTGTCACAATTTCAATTAGTATAAAATTTGAGATTTTGAGTTTTTCAAAATTATTAAAAAGTGAAATTTTTTCATGTTCAACAACGAAGTAATGAAAACAATGAGAGTAATGCTATGCTGTTGAATTGACAATTGTACATAGGTATAACTGGCTGAAACTTTTAAGAAAGAAGAAGTGGATTTCATTTAA